AACATTCATCATCAGATACATACACAATCTTGTTAGCTTGATCAAACACAACCACCTTCAAAAAACATTTACAACATTCATCATCAGATACATACACAATCTTGTTAGCTTGATCAAACACAACCACCTTCAAAAAACATTTATGACATTCACTTTTAATAAATAGAAACAAGTGGATATCATCACATGGCCACAGAMTTGTACTCAGTCCTCGCCATGCTCATGGCCCCAGCCTGAAAAGCAGGAGAAGCGAACAGGTGCAAGTCATATTTGCTCGTACTGAAGTGTTAGTCGTGCATATTGAAATGACATAATTTCTGATCTGTCCTTTCTACTATTTATAGAATACACACTCTTACAGCTAGAACATGATCACTGTTTAACCTCTTGATGTCAAAAATGTTTGTGTGTCATTGCCTTATTTTACAACATCAAAGGTACATGTACCCTTTAACACTTTTACCGAAAACAATATCTTTAAATATCATTGACTTCATTGACATAAAAAATGAATGTTTCACCTTCAAATTGAGAACTTAATTGATTGATGGTGCACTGAAATGTGAAATTTATTTTGGTAAATGGATCTTCCAAATTGTTTTAAAATCATAAATTAACAAAAAATGCTGGACCACATGACTAAATTTATAAAACACACACTGAATTAATCTCAAAATGGTGACATAGATTGAAATAAATTTCTCTTATGCAATACCCCTTAGGGATTTCCTTGATATAAATACGAGATGTGTAAGAATGTTCACCGTAGCCTGATGATTGTGTAACAACATGAAACTTATAGTCGCTACCCGTGTCATGTGTCTTTGATTCCGTTAACTCATACGTATAAAACACACACATACACTTCATGCAAAAAGAGAGAGAAAAGTTCATGCAAAAAGAGAGATTTGTTATATTTATGAAGATCATATAAACAGTAATAACTCACCCTCTGATTATTAGTATCACAGAACCGTATGCCATTAACACTAGAACTTTTATTGAACTTTTTTGGATCTTCACGGTTAAACGTTGTCCCATAGTTGGTGGATCTGGTCAATAGAAAAGTAAAACAGTGTTATGAGCTACATCTCCACTGATATGAACCAAATACTTAATACACTTTATGAACGTCTCCCAAATACATTTTATTTGACACATCAACAGTGTGACATCACAATGAATATGAAGTGATTAAGTCTGGCACAACAGAATAATATCATCATGTAGCGTCAACATGGCGGCTGCCTTCGTTCTGTGCAACAGTGACCGCATGATCAATATAAACCTCGACTACGACTGTAATAAACAATAAATATTCAGACCAGTATATTTTGGTCAGGCAACTGACCTTCTAGTAAATCTTCATATAATACTTATGTTTTATTCATCAGTGTTGTGTCAGATTTACATCATCATCAATGTAGGTGATATGATTATCCGAGTGTGAGAAGTCTTGAGAAAGACTTTTGCAGTAATGTCAGTTGTCTGATGTTTCAGCACCCTGTCTTGAAGACACCTTCAGGGTGAAGAAGATGGCTTCCAGAATATCGAAAAATTTGTAAGAAATTTTGGGTATAATTAAATTCAACATCAGTAAATATTGTTTCACCTTGCTTGTTGACAGCGCATGACTATAAATCACTCACCTCCATATGTAAGCACTATTAAAATAAACATTGCCAACAGAAGTTTCTTTTATTCCTTGATGGTTTGAAGTGTAAATATAAATAACCTATGAAAAACAAGGAAGATGGTGATTGTATGGAAGCCTTAATGACCTACACTTGAAGCACTAAAATAAAAAAGATATTGAAATCATAAGGATGGGATGCAGGGCTCAAAATAATGGCCGGTCAGTGAACGGACATGATGACCGTTCAAATACAATTTTGACCGGACAATTGTTCCAGTTTTGACCTGGCAAAAATGAAAAAAAAAATGAAGCATTAACACATATATTATTAATACATAAAGAATAGTTTATTGGCATTAAAATCAAATTAAAAGACAAAAAAGAACAAAAACCTTTCTGATTTTTGAGCGTTTCATTTGAATAAAAATTTAGCACGTTCACACTGCATGTTCAGCAGTGTGAAAATCCTTCATAAAAAGCAAGAAAAAAATAAAAATAAAATGCCACAAAAAAAGTGAAAGAAGTGTAATTTCTTTATAATTACCTTTATTAAGTTAGACTATAAGGATATTGTTTTTTATTCTTGGTGACATGCGTTCCACAAAAAATGAGAACGAAAGCTATGAAACATCATATCCAAAATACTGAATATTATTCTACGTCTTCGATGTTTTGGCCATAGGCTACCCAACTATTGCTTGAGAGAAAGAAAAGAATGAATGCGCACGCTTTTATATTATGTTATCGAATCGGCGCGCGCTGTGGGTTACCTGTGTTATTACCTGTGGTATTACGTCACGATCGCGCGCCTCGCGGGATACAAACTAGTCTGTGACAAGGTATGAAACACT